TGTATATATATATATATCCACCACAGGGAATGGATTGTTCTGAAATGATAAACTCAGATTATGTACAAAGGAGTAGCATTAAGGCAAGAAAACAACCTGAACATATCCAGAAATAGCTGCATAAGCCTGAAGATAGCACCAACCAGGCATGTGGTTAAGAGACAGACTTACAAGCCAGACATGGTGGTGAATGTCTGTGTTCTGGGTATTTTGGCAGGAGCATCTCAAACTCAAGCCTAGTCTAAAGTCAGATGTGTGACTAAATAAATTAATTAAAACTATTGTCCCTATTTCCTCGTATATAAAAATGAGGCTAATAATGCAACCTACCTTTTAAGATTACTAGTAGGACTAGAAGAACACATTAGAAGTGCTTAAAACAGTACCTGGCAGATAGTACCAGCTGGTGACTGCTATTAATATTGTTAAATTTGCGTTATTAGGAGACAAGATATAAAATACAAATAAGAAAACATAGTAAGTTATGTCCTAGTGTTAGTCTCAATATAATTTTCCCCAATTTATTTTTAATGATATACTTTTTCAAACTCTTGTAATGACAATTTAAATAATTAGAAAGTATAGGATTATGGTTTTTAACATAAAAGTAGAGTCATTTTCAGTTTTCTGTCTGGAACAATCTGAAGATTAAAGAGTCTGGACCAAACTAAAATCATCTTTCTAACAGGATTCTTTCTGATCGCCAATCTTGATGACTCAACAAAGGATTACAGTCCGGTGTTTAATGTCTCAGGCAAAGGCAGAGTTCAGAATACAGTAAAACCATACAGGAAAGACATGGTAGATACCTTCCTACAATTATGCTGTGGATGAGCTACAGCACTAGTAAAATGAGAGAGGCAAGATAGGCAAATTTAAACCCGTACCTGCACGTGAGATCATCCAACATGCAAAAACATATACATGGCATTTTTTCTAATACCAAAACTGTTATGCATGACAGGATGCCATGACAGTCCATGTAGTCCTTTATGAACTACAAAACTGCAAACACAAAGATTTAATTTTTCACCGGGGATTTAGCTCAGCAGTTAGTGGCCTGCCTTGTAAGCGCAAGGACCCGAGTTCAATCCCAGGTACAAAAAAAAAAGATTTAATTTTTCAAGTCACTATGATTGCTTTGAGTAGGAAAAAACAGAATCATTCAAAAGAGCAACATAGTTTTTAAAGCTTTAAAACAAATTATCCTTGTAGGTGATTCGTTTTTTTTTCTTTTTTTAAAGATACCAACTAGGACAAGAGAATTAGTAGGTCCGATGGCCCATATAATATCTTCTACTAAAGAATCAACATCCTTTCAAGGAAAAAATCTGTTACAGCAGAGCAAGTATCAAATCCTACATTCTACCTCTCTCTCTGTTAACACACACACACACACACACACACACACACACACAGGCACACACTAATATTCTCCACATACTACAAATGGTTCTAAAATGAAAGAACTTTCATCCTAGGTTCACATTGGTATGTACAGAAGGCAGAGTGGAAGATGGAGGGCAAAGAGGTTATGATAGTTCACTGATTGTGTCAACGAGCAAGAAAGAACTAAATAAGATCAGCATAGTCCTGGGTGTGGCTGAAGGAATTTACTGAAGAAAGACCCACCCTGGGTATGAGTGACAGCAACCAACATGCTTGCCACCTGAATAGAATGAAAGGTAGACAGAAGGAAGGCTTGCTTCTATTTCTTTGGAGGAGCTCCAGTCTTCGTATTACTTTGGATGTTGTCTCCTGACTTACATCATACACTCTTCAGCCTCCAGTGCAGACCCTTCAGCCTTGCCTAGACCGTTCAGGCTTCCACTGTGGACCCTTCAGCCTCCTGATGTGGACTTACATGGGACATTATAGTGAGCTCTAGGCCATCAGCTGGATCCTTGGTTTTCCAGTGCACAGACAGCCATTTTGTACTCTTCCACACCTGACTCTGGGAGGGCCCATTATAAGCCAATCTTGTGTATTCTATTTTTACATCTTGCATTAAATCTGTTTCTCTAGTAATCACTGACTATATAGAGGTCTTAAACAATTCCAGTATAAAATTCCCAGACAACAAATACTGAATGATATAAAAGTTCTCCTCATTCTCCAAGATTAAAACTGGACTCTTAGAAAATGTGAAAGCCATGTATAAAGGCTAGGAAATAGAACAGCCGGCACATTTGAAGAAAATAAAAACTCAGAAAGGCTAACACAAAAAACATGCTTGAAGAAAAAGGGCATGGGAGGAACTGTGCAGAGATGAAGCTGAAAAGCAAGCGCCCCAGACCGTTGAGGGAATTAAAACCATGTTTTGGAGTTTCAAGTATATTTTAAATACATTATTAGGAAGCCACTGAAGACTTTTAAGTAAATAACGTGATTGGCCAGACCTATGTGTTTTGAAAATACTGACATTGCAGTATGGGAAATGAATTAAAGTGAAGCAATCAAGAGACCAATAGGAAACCAGTAAAGCCAATCAGGTAAAAAGTACCACAAGATAAAACAAAAAGAAAAAGAAAAAAAACAAAAACAGAGAAAAGTATTTCAGTATAATAACCAGCAGAAATAACAATTTTTAAAAACAGCAATCACTGTTATAACTGAAGGCTAAAGTTATATCTGCATCTGCCATACAATCCTTATCCAGCAGTAATCCTAACCTCTTTGTCACTCTTTCCCAGCTGTCCTATTTGTATCAACCAGCTGTTCAATACAAGAGTCACCTGGCACAAGTGGGCCATTTAAATACATTTCAGAATTTAATTTCTCATAATGATGGACAATTTTCAAGTGTTCAATAGCTACAGGTGACTAGTGGCTACTGAATGCCCAGCATGGACATAAAACATTTCCATCACTGTAGAAAGGTCTATTGCACAGTGCTGGGTTATGTACACACACCTAAGTCAGTCAAATTCCCAAGTAAGCCAATCAAAGCAGATGCCTCTCAAAGGAAAGATACACACGAAGGGAGAGTCACTCACTATCTCAGGCCCACTCCTTGTATATTCTGAAGCCCTCACAGTATAGTTTAAGAATCATGGTGTACAAACAACAGGACAGGCTCTGTGTTTTGGCTCATTAATCTTCACTATGCTCTGAAGAAATAGAAAAGCAGCAGGTGTCATCCATGTTTTATAGGTGAGGATACCAAGGCACAGAAATTAACCTGCCTGTGGCTATAAAATCAATCATGGAGTCACAAATAAAAGCTAGATTCCCTAACACCCCGACCAGTGCTCCATTCATTAAAGGAATCATGGCTGATTTAAGAACTCTAGGATGGAAAGTATTCAGGTTTCACCTGACCCAGGCAACCATTTGCTTCTTCAAAAGGCTCACTATACCCACAGGAGGGTCATATCTGTTAAATCCTTACAAAGTATTGTTATGTTCATGTATATAAACATACACACACACACAGAAAAATATCAAAGACTATATTCATGTATATTTCACATATATAACAACTGTCTTCTAACTTGTGATGGAAAATAAAGGAGATGACACACATACTAAAATTAACAGCACCAAGATATAGATCATTCCTGCATTATTAATTTGTTAATTATAGTAAATGGTTATCTATAAAAAGTTACAACCCAGAAGTGCCACATTTTGTAATTCTTATTTGCTTCTGCAACAGGACATGCCTGACTTTTGTATGCTCTTTCCCAGTCTATAGAAGCAATGGGGGCACAGAGAGGCAATACTTGCATTTTCATTTCAACTACCTAATTAACTGAAAAGAGTAAAATTATATATAGGGAGACATGAGCCAAGTTACAGATTAAAGATATAAAATCTACATACAGCATTTGCTTGTGATACTCTTGACAATAGCAATTTTAAAATGCAGCCGCCAGCATTCACTAATGTGTCTCTGTGCCCTGACACTGCAAAACAATTTACTCAGAGCCTCATTTGAATAATGTGAAAAAATCTACGAAATAATTCAACTCGCCCCATATCTGAATTCTTATATACTTTCACTGTTGTTATGCTAAATGAGAAAAGAACAGAATATTTAAAATAATTCAAAAGGATTAAGTAGCATAAAAAATAATTAAGTCAATTATATGTTTTTAGAAGTAGGACTCTCGTCTATAGAATACAAAAACTAAATGAATTTTTACATAAAATGGAAGTTCCTAACATGGATTGGACAACTGTTTCTGAAGTAACACAGAAAATCTCTGAATACCTACATTTCTTCAAGGAAAAGGGTATAAATGCTGATCTTCAGTACAGAACCTAGTGGTTAGAGGATGACTACTTACACAGCATTCCTGGAGGCTCCGCAGGACAGCAAGAGCTTCACTATATCCAGGTGCTCGTTCCTGGCTGCATCATGAAGTGGTGAGTCATTCTGGTAGCCTGTGGTGTTCACCAAGGCCTTATGCTGGAGCAGCAATTCTGCTACCTTCAGGTGCCCATGATTGCAGGCTTCATGCTAATTGAGAGAGAAGAGTAATAAGAGAAAGAAATGAGAACTATGGTCAGTAAATGATTCCAACATACATATTATTTATATAGATCGTATGTAGTGACAGAGTAAGTCACTAATAACATTTGTGCAACTCTTGGGAAAAGAAAAGTCTTAGGTCAAATGTACATTCTGTAAAAGAAAATGTAGCTTTAGTCCAACTATAACTCCTAAGTTTGTCCCACAATTAAACAGTAAGAAAGAGAACTTAAAAATCACACCATGTGTAAAATCTGAAATAGTTCTTCACTACATCAGGTCATACATAAATAGTGGACCACCACAAATGCCTATCTACCCAACAGTTGATATCTCAAATGTGCTTATTACTAAATAAGTTCTCTTCACTGAAATGAAATTATTGGATGAAATACTAGATAAAGGTACTGTCCATGACAAAATAACAGGGAGTAGATATTCAAAAAGAGGTTATTAAATGAAAGACAGAACTACTATTGGCAGAATGTTCAAAGATGCCTTATATGCAAATTTTTCCTGATGTCTAGTGAACTCCACCAATGCCACTATGTTGATTTCTCCTAAATTTCTGGCATACTGCTCTTCTTGGGACATCTATTTCTACTCATAATAGATGACACCATGCTCATCATCTGTAGATCTATTCTAAGAGAAAAGAATTCAAAGTAGGTATCAGATCCTTCTAAAGCACTCATCAACCTTTATTACAATTTGCCTCAGTGTCTTTAAAACTAAGTTTAATCTCTGAGAAAGATTAGTAAGGTTGCAGTGTCCAAACAATACAGGAATGCTGATCCAGAAAAATCCTCCATGCTTAAGAATTTGGCAAGGAGTCTTCATATTTTTTTCTGCACTTTCTCTAATAAATATCTCCTAAGTTCTAGCTTATAGGCTATACACTTCTACCTCATTTGTTGATTCTTCTGTGGTTGCATTCAAATCTCATGTTTATTTTCTTTTTTCTCTCACTTAGTTTATTGGTACATTTTAGGTGTACAGTACAGTTACATTCATCATTGGGATCCTTTACCTTTACATGACAGGTCTTGGTTCTCATTTTCTCCCCTTGTCCCTGCCCTCCCTTCACCCTCTCCTCCCCACCCTATTTACAAATAGTTTATTTCCATTTTTTCATTTTCTCATATATTTTTTTCCCTTATCACCTTTCCCCTACCCTTCCCACTTTGCCTACAACTTTAGCCTTTTTCTTCCTGTTTATGTTTATTTTCTTAATATAATTAGACCACGTAGTAATTGTTTCCAAGTGTTCTTACCATTTTCCTCCCAGAGTATTCATATTATATCTATAGTAACAAAAAGCAAAGTTTTAAAAATGTTTAATGTAAGAAAAGCTTTCTATTATCTCAATGTACTTGCAATTAGATAAGACAGGGTACAAGTAAAGCTAAAATAGATCTTCAGTAAGAGGCACTCCCTTGTGATCATATGCCATACTCAGCCCTTCTGATTTCTCTTTATTCCACAAAATTGGGTTCCAGCAACATGAACACTACACAATGAAACCTGATGTCAACTGAAGTTACCTCTGTACCTTAGCGAAATACAGCAATGTAGTGTAACTGGATTCTAAATCTAAAGGTAACCAAAAGGTAGCCAATTTCCTACCTGTCACAACTGAAAAGCTAAATGGAAAACAATTATTTTCTCATATTCAGTGAAAACATAAACTCATCAGAGTAAACATATGTAGGTAGCAGAGGAATGATACATAGACAATCACTTAACTATAAACTGTAAAAACTATAAACAGAGAAAGAAAGAGAATAAAAAACAAACATCCCCAGCACAAAAAAAAGAAAAAAGAAATCTACCAATGGTGTCCATCCAGCATTGTCCTTAACATTCGGGTCACTTCCATTTTGCAAGAGGTAATCTACAAATGGTACATCACCCTGGTAGAACAATGAAAAAATAAAAAGATGTTTAAAAGCATCAAAAACAAGGCAAGATACTGAAAATTTCTTTTAAAGAAATTGTTCATAAGCTAAGTAACAAGTTACAAATATATAAAGTCCTGAGATATTATTTATTCAAAATTCATTTCAAGATACTAAATAAATAACTCTAGCCAATGATTTGACCTAATAAAGTTTTTTTCAATGCTCTGATCATAATAGTTTTTTTACTTTATGAAAAAACTTTTTAAAATTTTATAACAAAATGAGGATAGTTAATAGATTATCATCATGTTCACAATAGTTACACAAGAGTACAACACAGAACAAAAAGATTCTTATAAAGAATGAAATAGATTATACAACGAAACTTTCTTTTCAATGAACTAAGAGAAACTAGTGGTCTAAATAAAACGAATTAACATATATATTAAAATACTTTTGAAACAATGGAATATGTATCTTGGGGAAGTATGTGAACTTCACCCAACTTCCTATTTACCTCTCTTCTATTTTGCTCTTTGTGTGTGTTTACATAGTATTTATACAGTGTTTCTCATATAAGAGAAACCACATGATATTTAAGCTTGTGTGTCTGACTCATTTCAATTAACATTTTTTCAAGCTGCATCTAATTACCCACAAATGCCTCAAGTTTATCTTTCTTTATAGTGATAAAGTACTCCATTGGGTAGATAAATGCCACAATTTTACCTAGCCATTCATCTGCTGATGGACATATACACTGTTTCCAAGATCTTGTCATCATCATAAACTCTGCTGCTGTAAAGATGGGCATCCATCTATCCCTGAAAGATGATGATTTTAATTCTTTTGGGAAGATTCCTAGAAGGGGATAGCTAGATTAAATAAAATCTCTATTTTTAGTTTTTGAGGAATCTCCACAGATTTCCATAGCGTTTATATTATTTTACATCCCCACTAACAATGTAAATTTTTTTTTGGCTGTGGCTTAAGAAGGCTCAGTCAGTTCTTTAAGGTTGTGAGAAGTAAGAGTGAATGCTTCTTTACCAAACAGTACTCTGTTAGAGAAGAAAGTATTTTTAAAAAAGGAGAAGCACAATTTAATTATTTCCTGGAAACTTTGTATTGATTCAGATTTACCCTGTTACTCTGGACCAATCTAATTATCATAATTTTATTTATGTGCATGACTATAAATTTGTGTAAGGTAAAAAGATGAAAATATGACAGACTTTTAAGTGTTAGGGAGGAGACAGAAGATTGGATATAAAAAGTAAGCAGTTTGCTAATCAGCTGTAAGTTTCAGGGTGGAATGTCAATAGAAGACACCTTTGATAATATGAAGAGGTGACATGAAAGAGACATAGCAACTGTCTAGCAAATTAAAAGAGAGGCAGCTGCTTTCAAACTGTCACTGGGTTCCTACTGCACTGTTACCACGTGACTGCCATTTTACATTTAAGTAGAACTAAAATGTGGGAAGCTTTGAGGATGTTTTTAAAATATATTTTGTAGAAATTTATTATATTGAAGGTAGGGAATATGTATGATTCTAGCAGTTTGTGCTGTATTCAGTAGATCGTTTAAAATTATTTCAACTTGGTATCTTGCTAGAATGTTCCTGGGTTCATTTGGATGTAGCACTAAGTTGCTAAATTTTCCAGGCTAGGCTTGAACTTGTGATTTGGTATTTTCAAGTCGAACTTTAAAGGCTGAAAATAAGGAGTGCATGTGTGTGTTCTACTGAACTGTTACACTGAAAAGTGCTGGTTTTCTCCTATATGATCTTGCTTCCCAGAGCCAGGGTCACAGGTAGATAGGCAGGCCCTGTAAAGTCTGCTTCTCTAGCGGACAGGAAGTATCATATCTGCAGTAGGTTAAATATCCTATCCTTAAGCCTGTTCTCAAAAATCTCAAATAAACTGCTTCACAGTTGGTCTCTACTAAAATTTTCATCTCCGATGTTGCTCAAAGCCTCACATGTTGGTTGATAGCATTAGAAAGACTAAGGGCTGTGGCCTAGTAGGAGGTCTTTAGGTCACTGGAGTTCACCCTTGAACAGCAAAGGGAGACTCAGCCCTTCTCCTCTTCCCCTCTTTTGCTTCCCTCCCCAAAGGGGAATGCCTGTTTCATCACACACTCCCATGATATGCTGCCACAAGCCCAGAGCAATGAGACCAGTCATGGAACAGAGCCTCCAAAACTCTGAACAACAATAAACCCTTTCTCTCTGTATGTTGATCATCAGGCATTTGTAACAGCAATAAAAAGTTGAGTAACAGTTTGATTCTGTGTATCAGAATAAGCATCCTACCTTAATAGAAGCAATATGAAGTAAAGTTTCTCCTCTGTGATTTCTTTTCTGGGCCACAAAGCCATGGGGGGACAGCTTCATTGCAGAGGGGCTGGACATCAGTCGTCTGTAACTGGAACTATTCAATGTAGAAGGTAGTGTATATGGCGAAAGGCTAATGGAATCATCTGATATGGTATCATTTTCCCTCCTTAATGTGTCATCAACTTTAAGTGTGCTTGAAGCTGGTGGGGAACAGTCAAGCAACGCAATGTTTTCTAGGAGCACTGTTTGCCTAACAACATCTCCACTGGTACTCGGAATACTGCTTCTACATTTCTTAGAAACAGGACTAGAAAGTCTGTTGCAATGTCCACGTTTTCTATTATGACCTGATGGCAAAGACACCTTAGAGGGAAGATCATTTTCACAACCATTCTCAGCAGACACTTCAATCCTCTGGTCATTGTCTGGAGACTCTATATGCTCAGCCAATGGTAGAAAGACTTCATTTAAGCTTCCACAACTTTCTGATTCTGTTACAGAGCCACTTGCCAGTAAGTCTATTTCACCATTTACTTGTGGACTACCAATAATGGCTGGCTGGCTACAGAAGGATACCTGCTTTTCCTTAAATTCGTCTTTGAGATCAAGTTCATCAGATTCCTTCTCTGCGTTTAAAGTCCATTCTTGGTTGATTTCAGCTAAAGTTTTCTTTTTTGGCTTTTTTGCAGATGTTGTAGAAGCTTTTTTAGCACTCTTAGGAACAACCATAGGAGGAGTTGAAGAAACAAATTCATACATTGAGGCTTGCTGAGCATTTTCATCTTTTGTCTTCTGAGGTTTGGTCTGCACTGAAACTTTCCTCACAACATACCTGACCCTCTTACTTCGAGGACTAAACCACATTTTTATTGAATTCTTCTTGTTTTCTGCATCATTAAATAAACTTGTCCTAGATGCATCTTCTTTCAAATCTGATGGAAAGGAAAGTAACTGGTTAAAGGGATTACTCTCACTAATCTCTCAAAGAATTTTGTTTGTAGTTTTACTAAAGTTTGTCACTTTTTATGTGCATACTTCTCTCTACTTCCAGACTATGGCCTTACTGGAGAGCAGGTACCTAGCCTCTTATTCAACAAATGTTTACTGATTCCTACTTTGTGCTAGACAGTGTTCTAGAGATGAGAGGTACAGCAGAGAACAAAATATGAAACATTTCACTGACAATCCAAGCTGAATACCACCTGGTCCACAAAGTGTTACTGAGACTGGATCTTGGAAATCACGCTCTGAATGCGGTACTCACTCACTCACACAGAGACTTTACATCTAAATTCAACAAGGTCTTTTCTTTGCAGTGGAAGTAGATTTCAAAACTAAGCCATTTCTTATATAATCTCAAGTCTAGAGGAAAGGTCAAAATGAAATGTTACCAAGATTACGTTTTAAGAAAGACTCAGGATTACAAAGACTTAAAGGTTAATCCTCAGTTAAGTCTGTAAAAACCTGTATTTGATTTTTTTAAATTTACTTTTTCAACGCAGGTGACAATATTTTCAATTGAGAACCATTCAAATCCTGAAATCCTCAATATTTATAATCCTTACAAAATGCAGATTGGCCACTTAAAGCAAAATAAGCCTTATAAGTAGTAATAACATACTTAATTGACGAAAGTCCCTAAAACTAAAAGGAGAAAAATTTCACATTCAGGTGTACATTATTTCTTAACAGATAAAGAGTAAATGAAACAGTAAATATTCATGTAATTTATATGTACACAGTAATTTTACTGATAATCCAGTAATAAACTTTGCTCAAATAGATTTTAATTATCTAATTTGGTATAACCAAGCAAGGCCCATAACTGCAAGTATGACTGTAAATTTCTGAATTTTATGCAGCATCTCTAAGACACAGCTGTAAAAACAAACAAAAAAATACTACCACTGAAATATAAGTCATACTATTAATAGCTACAATAGTCCTTATGGGTGAATGCTTCTAAGTATAATAAATAATTGCATTCATTTCAAGAAGAAAAATATTAGCCTCCCTTGCATATAGTAAATTTCTTAATGATATCATTTAAAAGAATTCTAATTCTCTGAATTTAAATATTTCAAAGTACAACACAAAATATCAAGGCAAAGATATGCACGTTACTAAGGAGCTACATAGCCAAATGTTTTTCTTAAAATTTAATAATAAAGTATAGAAAAGAGAAGCAATTAGAAAATGTGATTTCACTATCATTAATCTACATCAAAGGATTATAATGATGGGCACTGTGTGCCTTTCAAATTATTTTCTATTACAGGTTTCACAATAGAAGTTGAGAAATTTCTCTGATTAACTAGACCCTTATTAAAAAAAGAGAAGCACTTTGCTTACCATCTGTATGACATTAACGTCATTATTAAAGAGGGACTACTTTGTAAGTTAAGTTGTATTTAGTTTTACTTAAAACAACCACAGCACCATAGCTATTCACTCATCTTAATCTATTATGAAAAGTTACAGCACATATGAAACACTACATAATCACTTCAGAAAGACCAATATCTCTTTAAATCACAAGACAGAACCATCACCTGCAAGGTCTAATTTAATTTCATAGGGTTCAAGAGAAAATAAAAACATTTAAATTTAACACTATTAGTACAAAGCAGATTATATTATAATAAGGTAAAATTATCCATAAACAACCGTCAGAAAAATCTGACAGTCTCTTCTCTTTAAACTACAATGAACCAAGAAAAATCTGCTGAAGTATTTAGGAGCTCATTTTAGGAAGTATTACTATATATCAGGCTTTTATTTCTACTATACCATATTTTCTGTCCTTGATTTGACAAGTTCTTCTTAATTACCCACCTTAATTACAGTAATTATATATTTTATAATAAATGCAAGTAACAAGGTTCATTTGAAATATAAATTGTGAACTATAGGGTTTTTTTAAAGATAAAGATAATATGGAAGATGATCAACCGTTCCACTTAATTCATCATCTTCAACAGGTGGTCATTTTAACAGCGATACAATTTTGAGGCTAGACCTTAGAAATCACTTAGTCAAACACCCTTACATGTAGCTCACTCACTTTCTAAGCTCTTCATTACAAAAGGACCAACCATTTCTTGTTCCCAATTATTAACTGCATCTGCCTAATATACCTGTCCAACTTACACTACTCTAGTTTTGGAAGTGCTAAATAGGTGAACTAACACAAAGGCACCATGTCAAACGTACTAATAGACAAACTAAAATGGTGGGCTAGGTGTGGTGACACATGCCTGCAATTCCAGCTACTCCTAAGCCGAGGCAGGATGATCTCAAGTTCAAGACCACATAATGAGTTCTAGGCTGCCTTGACTACAGAGGACACCCTGTCTCAAAAATAGATAGCTAGACAGACAGACAGGTACAAAAATAAAGCACGGGGGCAGGAGAGACCTTAGCTCAGCATTCTCTTCAAGCCTTGTTTTGGAAGGACTATGAGAGGAAAAGTTGATCATGATGCAATTTACATTAAAGTAGAAAAGGCAATTTAAAATGGAAATAAGTGTATCTGGGTAGATATATTTCAATATATTTATACTTTAGATTTATTGTCATTTCTTTTGAGGGTAGCAAAGAAGGATGTTACAATTATAAAATGAATTACATAAACCAAAATCTGAAAATCTGCTTTAAAATTATTCTAATTGCCAGGGATTTGGCTCAGTGGTTCCACCATCTGCCTCACAAGTGCAAGGTCCCGAGTTCGAACCCTGGTACCAAATAAATAAATAATAAAATTATTTTAATTAAGTTTAGTCTCTAGGATATGAATTAGGCCTAGCACTGCCAACTTTATCTAATTCAAAAAAAAATGTTCTAAATAAAAATAAAAAGAAGAAAGTTACAACATGACTAACCAGTATCCTAAGATATAGATTAAGGGAATGGAGATACCTCTCTAGCTCCTGTAATTCTGATTATGTGTTATCCAAAATTCCAATTCATCTTAAAATAAGCAATGTTGAGTGACTAGGGACTTAGCTAGTGGTGGACTTTTTGCCTAACAAGTACAAGACTAAATTCAATCCCAGGATAGGAAGTGGGATAGTCTAGTAAGTTCTAAAATGATTTATTATTCTTTTTTGTTTCTTTTTTTCTCTCTGTGTGTGTGTGTGTGTGTGTGTGTGTGGTGCTGAGATAAAACAGAAGCCCCTCATTTGCTCATTATAATAAACACAAACACAAAATTCCCTTTAGAAAATTATGAATTGGGCCAGGGATTTAGCTCAGCAGTTCGGTGGCTTGCCTTGCAAGTGCAAGGACCCGAATTCAATCCAAAAAAAGAAAATTATGAATTGATAATTATGAATTACTAAAATTCTTTCTTCCAACTTCACCTCTACTGAGATAAGACTATTCTAAGAGGCCCACCCAGAAAACTGTTCTAAACTCAATTGTCCTAAATATCTTCCTCAATGACAAAATATTAAGGCATTTATGTGAAAATTATATTAATGATGCAAACATCACTCACTACAGCAACATTTTTGGAAAAGGACTCTATTTTATTCTTTCTTGTACTCCAAGGTACCCAGCATAACATAATTGATGGCAGTTAACCTCTAAATGTTACTCTACCTTTAGTTTTTTATGACATTGAAAATGTCATGTTACTTGTTAGGAATTAAATTGCGTCTCTCCTCTTGTTGCCTAAATCTGTACATTGAGGCCCTCACCCCTACTACCTCAGAATGTAACCTTATTTGAAGACAGGGTCATTGCAGATTAATTAAGATGATGTGTGTACGATAAAGCGTACCCCTAGTGCAGTGGACACTTGACTTACAAACCTGATGATTCCTGGGACTGGTTGTAACTTAATATAGCTGAGATATGGATGTTTACCTGGTTATATGCTATAGATAACAAGAGACAGAGCCAGGTGGGTGGTGCATGCCTGTAATCCCAGCACTCGGGAGGCTGAGGCAGGAGGGTCCCTGTGAGTTTGAGACCAGACCGGGCTACATAGTGAGTTCCAGGTCAGTCTCAACTACATAGTGAGAGCCTGTCTCAAAAAACCATAAAAAAAAAAGAGGTAAATTGGAATAAACACTTGTACAAGGAGATCATCATGCGAACAGGAAGACAGGTAAATTATAAGCCAAGGAAATGGGGCTAGAACAGAATTCTTCCTCACAGACCTCAAGAGGGGATGGAACCAATCCTTCACACATCTAGATCTCTGGCCTTTTGTGTAAGCCACCCAGTTTGTATTACACAGTAACTGGAGAAAAGTCAAATCAAAATATGAGAATCTCACAGTAGCACTCCCAAATTTCAATGCATGGCTAATAAGCCTAGCAAATTACACACCCCTAAAAATCTGAGGAAAGCCATTCTCACACAGACACAAACACTGTTCGTATCATACAATTAATTCAGGGAGGCACTGATCCTGCCCTGTGCACAACTCGAAGCACTGTCAAAGATGCAGTGACTCTTATTTGGTACCTGGGACAAACTTGGGACCTTCTGTTGCAAGGCAGGTGGCAGAACCACTGAGCTAAATCCCCAGCCCAAAGAGGCAATGACTCTTGACTGAGAACTCCTGACTTAATTCACAGACTCATGTGGGGAAAGGGAAACCAAATTACATACCAATATTTTCAACTAGAAAACAAACACTGATGGGCCGGGGATTTAGCTCAGTGGTTCGGTGGCCTGCCTTGCAAGCGCAAGGACCGGAGTTCAATCCCCGGTACCAAAAAAATAAAAAAAAGAACAAACACTGAAAAAAAATTTCATTTTAAGAGGTTTACAACCACAATATTATATCTTGAAAAACATTATTAAAAGGTGTATATCACTACATCCAAAAATAAGTAAACTTTAACCCTATAGCATACTTTTATCAAATACGGAGTGTAATATAATTACCCAGATAAGCAGATGGAATTTTTCATACACCAGATTTTAAATTCCTCTTAAAAGAGGGACGTCTGGAGCCAGGGAATTAGCTCAGTGGTTCCGCGACCTGCCTGGCAAGCGCAAAGTCTGGAGTTTGATCCTCCAGTACCAAAAAACAAAAAAAATTAAATAAAAAAAAAAAAAAAAAAAAAAGACTCTGGTCCATAAAACTTAAAATATTTGATGTGTTTCTTTGTTTAATCAACGTCTTTAGTAGTTGACAATATTTCAGCATTCAAAGAACAAAAGATTTAGAAACAGAAATCCAACAATTTTATATTAGTATTATCAATCATTCATGGCATCTTGCCAAGCAAGAAAAGAGTCTCCACAAGCATGCTAAAATGGCATGATCTGGTCAATAAAAAGACAATTCCAATATCCAGTTATAAAGATTCAAAACACTTTACTTTCTTTTTACAGTTAATTAGTTCTCAGCAGAAAGCACAATAGGAGGATATATAGTTAATACAGAGTCAAAGAACAATTTGAAAAACATTAACTTCCATTCATATAGAAAAGAAAATGAATATTAAATTTTTTATTCTTTCAAAATGTGCTCATCTAATTAATTCAGTCTAAAAAAGTGATCCATGGAAGACTGTTGCATTCTATCTTGCAAAAGTGTATTTAAGTGAGTGAAGCACTCAAAGACAAAATCATTATTCCATATATATTCTACAAAAATAAGAATAACTATAAAAAGCAGTCAGTATAAGGTAGTGAAAAAGCCTCTGGACTAACAATCCAAAAAATGGCCACCTCTCACTTGTGGTAAGGCAGGGGGGTCACCATGAGTTTGAGGCCAGCCTAGGCTAAATAGTGAGTTCAACGCCAGCCTTTTCTCAAAAAAGAGAAAACAAAGGAGGAGGGCCTCCAATTCTAATGCTTCTGGTACAAACTACATATGTGACTAGGAAGATTACTTCTCTGAATACTAGTTGCTCATCTATGAAAGAGAACTCTGTTTCCCACCATTTCTCAAAATGAGTCAAACAGCAACAGCAATAATAACAAAACTATAAATCTTAGAATTGTGGATAGATCTTTTATATTCTTTATGTGATCAATATGAATTAATCAGAGACAGGAATATTTCTTATCTGAAAACTTACTGTTGTATAGCAAATTTCGAAGCTTACTACAAAGCTGAATCATGCTGTCCAGTTGTCTGTTTATCTTGACATCCAGGATCCAGGCTGGGGTGGAACATACTGGACATCTGGTTCCAATGCAGTCACTTACACAATCACTTAAAAACAAACAAACACACATACATTCAGGAGAATTTAAACTTCAAAAACTACACAATAAAAAATTTGATCAAGAATAAAGTAGATGTTGTTCCAACACATAATAGTAAATTGTGAAACACTTAAAATAGTATGTTTACAAAGTATGAAAACATAAAATCTAAATCTAAAATTGATATGATTTGCTATGAAACTACTTGGAGGCTTGACTTAGCTTGACATTAGTTTGCATAATTTTTCCTTGCAAACAAACCTATAGCATCTAAAAAGTTAGGGTACAGAGAAAGATGTAAGCAGATACAGTATCCAATGCATGGTGACCATGCAATCCTAACCTCCTCCATCCTAATCTTAATATTCCACTTTATGGAAATACTTTAAAATCACTGTGGAAAGAGCAAGGAAGTATCTTTTGTTTTGTTTTTGGACAAATATGTAAACATTTTCAAGTTTTTTTTTTTTTTTTTTTTGGTGCCAGAGATCAAACTCAGGACCTTGAGCTTGTGAGGCAGGCAGCAGAACCACAGAGCTACATCCCTGACCCTTAAAATAGTTTTTGAGACAAGATCTTTGATTCTTTTGTGCAGTTTTATAATCTACAGGCTAAGTTACTTCAGGTTATCTAAGTGTTATTTATAGTCTCATAGTACAGAAGTTTTTCCTAACATTTATAGTTACAAAGGCTTTGCAAATACCCTCTCTCTCTCTTGCTTAAAGGGGGGTCCATAATCCCCCCTGAAATACATGTCTGAATTCCAGAACAAAATCCTATTACATTTACTCCATCCTTATTCTCAAGAGATGGATGCTAGTGGGAATGAGGAACATAGTAATTATAAAAGCTACACTTCTCCCAACTAATACGTTCTTAAGTATCCCATTCATTTGTAGGCATAGAGAATTATTATATGAACTAAACTCAAACAAAACCTGTGGCATTTCTACTTTTTGTATCCTTGGGCTTTTAGCATGATTCCTGCCTAATTCAGAAAAAAGTGAAAATGAATACTAGAGTTGGAAAGCTGGTCATGGTGGAGCACACCTGTAATCCCAGCACTCAGGAGGCTGAGGCAGGAGGATCGCTGTGAGTTCAAGACCAGGCTGGGCTACACAGTGAGTTCCAAGATAGTCTCAACTACATAGTGAGACCCTGTCTCAAAAAACCCAAAAACAAAAACAAACAAACAAAAAACTATAGTTGGGAGACATCTTTGAGATTATCAAGTTCAATAAATGTTCAATTTCTTTAGCAAAGAAACTTTTACAAGTATCTCTGCTTATAGAAAGGAACTCTGAAACTTGTGTCAGGCACTTGTGTTGAGTATAGTTTCAGCTACTCAGAAGGCTGAGTGAGGCAGGAGCAACATAAGTCAAGAGATTAAGATCAGACTGGATAAGAAAGTGAGACTCTACCTCAAAACAGAATTCTAACTTGGAATTCCAACACACAAAAAAATATAAAAACTAATTACTAGGGCAATTTACTTCTTGTGCATTACTTATTTAAGGAATACCAATAAATCTGAAATCCATTCCTTGAGAAACACCAGCTCATTTTCAGAAGAAAACGAGATCCAGTTAGTTAAATCACCTATTCAGCACTGCACTACTACTTGGGTCTGCTTTACATACAAGCCTGTGTATCCCTCCCTACATGAAATGCTTTGGGACCAGAAATGTCTCACTGCTCACTGTGGAGTTTTTTGGATTGGGGATATTTGCATACATTTTACTAGGTGAACCTTAATTGAAAATCTGAAAATTTTTAAGTACCGTAATTTTTTCAGCACCAAGTCAGTACTCAAAAGTCTCACATTTCAGAGCATTTTGGATTTCAGATTATTGGATTAGGAATGCTCAATCCATATTCTATGTTTATTTTGTAACTATTCTCAAATTATTATACAGTGGGCCAGGCATGATAGTTCATGCCTAAAATCCCAGCATTACGGGAGGCTTGAGACAGGACAATAGTCTCAAGTTCAAGGGCAGCCTGGGCTACACAGAAAGACCTTGTCTCAAAACAACAAAACCTATTACATAGATATTAGTTCAAAATTCTGAAAAAATATATAATTTCTCAGCAGATCTATATAATCCATTGAGTTAAAATTTCCAAAAGGCCAATGTACAATAATCATAAAAGCATGCTGGGTTAAAGATCAATTCAAAGTAGTGTATAGAAAAGTGATTTTAGTGTAACAGTATAAAATTTACTAATATAGCTTCAGATTCCACACTGCAATTAACCTAAAAAATTGGCATGCCTCAAGTTTTGGTGTAGTGTTAAAGAATAACATCCAGCTGGGCATGATGGCATACCCCTGTAATCCCAGCACTCTGGAAGGCTAAAGAAATTTCAGTTTTATATGGTACATACACATGTGTGCCTACACGCACACGTGTGCACACACACACACACACACACACAGAGCACTTTATGGTCCTCAGTTGTGATGAGTATATAATGCTTTAAGAGCTGGGCATGATATTGTATGCCTATAATCCTAGCACTCTGGGAGACTGAGATAAGAGGATGGCAAGTTTAAACTCAGTTTAGGCAACTCAGTGAGAATCTTCTTCCAAATAAATAAACAATGGCTGTGGATAGAGCTCTGCAAAGGCCTTGGATTCAAGCTCTGTATCACCAAATGAAAACGTGGGTCTGAGATCACAAAGCTTGACATCTTTACCACATGTCCTAAATGAACGGTACCTTAAAGAGAGCACACAGATTATTTTATCAGGGATTGATATAAAATAGACATCCCTCAGTACCCACAAGGGATTGGTTCCAAGACCTCCATCTCCCTACACACCATGAATACCATAATCTATGGCTGTTCAATTCCCTTAAATAAAATGATATAGTGTTTGAATATAACCTACACACATTCTCCCATATACCTTAACTCATCTCTTGATTACTTGTAATACCCAATAAAATGTAAACATTTAGTACCATGTTATTTAGGGAATAACACCAAGAAAAGTCTGTCCATGTTCCACACAAATGTAATTTTTTTAATATTTTGATTTGTGGTTGGTCAGAGATTATAGATGCAGAGTGTAAATCATAACCTCAAACTACCACAATGCTGTCAATATTAAAATCTATATCCTCACAAAAGATACTGAGGTCAACTATTCAACACTCTGAATTTTTTTTTTTTTTTTTTGGTGCCAGAGATCAAACTCAGGACCTTGAGCTTGTGAGGCAGGCAGCAGAACCACAGAGCTACATCCCTGACCCTTAAAATAGTTTTTGAGACAAGATCTTTGATTCTTTTGTGCAGTTTTATAATATACAGGCTAAGTTACTTCAGGTTATCTAAGTGTTATTTATAGTCTCATAGTACAGAAGTTTTTCCTAACATTTATAGTTACAAAGGCTTTGCAAATACCCTCTCTCTCTCTTGCTTAAAGGGGGGTCCATAATCCCCCCTGAAATACATGTCTGAATTCCAGAACAAAATCCTATTACATTTACTCCATCCTTATTCTCAAGAGATGGATGCTAGTGGGAATGAGGAACATAGTAATTATAAAAGCTACACTTCTCCCAACTAATACGTTCTTAAGTATCCCATTCATTTGTAGGCATAGAGAATTATTATATGAACTAAACTCAAACAAAACCTGTGGCATTTCTACTTTTTGTATCCTTGGGCTTTTAGCATGATTCCTGCCTAATTCAGAAAAAAGTGAAAATGAATACTAGAGTTGGAAAGCTGGTCATGGTGGAGCACACCTGTAATCCCAGCACTCAGGAGGCTGAGGCAGGAGGATCGCTGTGAGTTCAAGACCAGGCTGGGCTACACAGTGAGTTCCAAGATAGTCTCAACTACATAGTGAGACCCTGTCTCAAAAAACCCAAAAACAAAAACAAACAAACAAAAAACTATAGTTGGGAGACATCTTTGAGATTATCAAGTTCAATAAATGTTCAATTTCTTTAGCAAAGAAACTTTTACAAGTATCTCTGCTTATAGAAAGGAACTCTGAAACTTGTGTCAGGCACTTGTGTTGAGTATAGTTTCAGCTACTCAGAAGGCTGAGTGAGGCAGGAGCAACATAAGTCAAGAGATTAAGATCAGACTGGATAAGAAAGTGAGACTCTACCTCAAAACAGAATTCTAACTTGGAATTCCAACACACAAAAAAATATAAAAACTAATTACTAGGGCAATTTACTTCTTGTGCATTACTTATTTAAGGAATACCAATAAATCTGAAATCCATTCCTTGAGAAACACCAGCTCATTTTCAGAAGAAAACGAGATCCAGTTAGTTAAATCACCTATTCAGCACTGCACTACTACTTGGGTCTGCTTTACATACAAGCCTGTGTATCCCTCCCTACATGAAATGCTTTGGGACCAGAAATGTCTCACTGCTCACTGTGGAGTTTTTTGGATTGGGGATATTTGCATACATTTTACTAGGTGAACCTTAATTGAAAATCTGAAAATTTTTAAGTACCGTAATTTTTTCAGCACCAAGTCAGTACTCAAAAGTCTCACATTTCAGAGCATTTTGGATTTCAGATTATTGGATTAGGAATGCTCAATCCATATTCTATGTTTATTTTGTAACTATTCTCAAATTATTATACAGTGGGCCAGGCATGATAGTTCATGCCTAAAATCCCAGCATTACGGGAGGCTTGAGACAGGACAATAGTCTCAAGTTCAAGGGCAGCCTGGGCTACACAGAAAGACCTTGTCTCAAAACAACAAAACCTATTACATAGATATTAGTTCAAAATTCTGAAAAAATATATAATTTCTCAGCAGATCTATATAATCCATTGAGTTAAAATTTCCAAAAGGCCAATGTACAATAATCATAAAAGCATGCTGGGTTAAAGATCAATTCAAAGTAGTGTATAGAAAAGTGATTTTAGTGTAACAGTATAAAATTTACTAATATAGCTTCAGATTCCACACTGCAATTAACCTAAAAAATTGGCATGCCTCAAGTTTTGGTGTAGTGTTAAAGAATAACATCCAGCTGGGCATGATGGCATACCCCTGTAATCCCAGCACTCTGGAAGGCTAAAGAAATTTCAGTTTTATATGGTACATACACATGTGTGCCTACACGCACACGTGTGCACACACACACACACACACACACAGAGCACTTTATGGTCCTCAGTTGTGATGAGTATATAATGCTTTAAGAGCTGGGCATGATATTGTATGCCTATAATCCTAGCACTCTGGGAGACTGAGATAAGAGGATGGCAAGTTTAAACTCAGTTTAGGCAACTCAGTGAGAATCTTCTTCCAAATAAATAAACAATGGCTGTGGATAGAGCTCTGCAAAGGCCTTGGATTCAAGCTCTGTATCACCAAATGAAAACGTGGGTCTGAGATCACAAAGCTTGACATCTTTACCACATGTCCTAAATGAACGGTACCTTAAAGAGAGCACACAGATTATTTTATCAGGGATTGATATAAAATAGACATCCCTCAGTACCCACAAGGGATTGGTTCCAAGACCTCCATCTCCCTACACACCATGAATACCATAATCTATGGCTGTTCAATTCCCTTAAACAAAATGATATAGTGTTTGAATATAACCTACACACATTCTCCCATATACCTTAACTCATCTCTTGATTACTTGTAATACCCAATAAAATGTAAACATTTAGTACCATGTTATTTAGGGAATAACACCAAGAAAAGTCTGTCCATGTTCCACACAAATGTAATTTTTTTAATATTTTGATTTGTGGTTGGTCAGAGATTATAGATGCAGAGTGTAAATCATAACCTCAAACTACCACAATGCTGTCAATATTAAAATCTATATCCTCACAAAAGATACTGAGGTCAACTATTCAACACTCTGAAATGTGACTTAATTTGAAAATAGGGTATTTGTAAATGATCAAGTTAAAATGAGATGAACCTTTATTTAACAGGAACTAGTACTTATAAAAAAGTGAAAGGAAAGGAATATGGCACATGAACTGGAAGGCAAAGATAAGGATAATATATCTATAAGCCAAGGAATGGGAGAGATTACCAGCAACTCATGATAAGCTAATATAGAGGTATAGAACAGATTCTCCCTCACAGCCTTCAGAAGGAACAAAGCCTGACCTTAAACTTCTATCTTTGGCAAGTATAAGACAGTATTTGTTGTTCTGAACCAACCAGTCCTTGAAAGATTCTTTTTAAAGAGGCACATTTGGATTATGTAAGGCATTAATCCCCCCTCAAACTTTGGAAAGTTAACTAAGCTTTGTAACTTTAGACAAGTTACCATCTTTGAGCTTTTTTTTTTTTTTTTTAAATTTGTAAACTAAGACAATAAGGATCCAAATGAGATAATGTACAGTATGTTACAGGCTATGAAAGATACACAAACATGAAATACTATTATCAACACTGTCACATGATTGCTATCTAATAAGAAATGCAGTTACCTTTCATATATCAAGGCATTACTTACCTACAAAAGATGTGCTCACACCCTCCTAAGCACACAGGCTCCTTCAGAATATTAGTGCTGAATTAAGAAAGAAAAAGTCAAATTTAGGTCATTGTTAGATAAACATTTCATGCTCATCATTTCATAACTCCAAATGTGTACACATACTTCTCTCCACCTCAAAGCAGGGAATATTAATGAGTATTCATCTGAAAGGCTGTTATTCCCTTGGTGAAACATTTTCATAATGCACCTGTTGAATCCAAATAGCAACTATGAATTTCAGTACAAGTAATAACACTTTTTATAATGTATTTGCTGCAAAGTTACAAAAAGGAACAACTTTATTCAAGTATCTCTAAACCTCTTCCTCTTAGTGACAAAAACAACCACTGACTTCTTTTAACTGCTAAGGCAGATCTTCACTGAGCAATTTAAAGTGACCATAAATTTTAAAATGTAACCTACAATGAGAACATTTCTTAGAGTCAAGGCAAGGGTGACAACTAGATAAGAAGTACAAACAAGGACTCCCTTGTTTACAAAGTCATTAAGGTAACAGTCCAAAAACTGAGAATGATTCACTGAAGAGCAAAGAGAGAAACAAAATATTCCCAATGTTGTCCATGAAAACACTTGCAAACTCTGACAGTCTTAGGAAGGTACTGGTACTTCTAATAAACGGACATCAAATTGTTAAATTTGGTGAACAAAATGCAGCAAGAGAAGTAAAGCCTTTAAAGGATGAACATTTTCTGTGCTTGGTTTCTTGTACTAACCCTAGGACCTTTGGGTATTTACACCACTATCATCCAATTACCTCTGCAGACATACTACATATCAATAAAAAGTTCTCCACATTTCTTAAAAGATCAAAAGTATCACACTGCACATTTTAATAAATATAAACATTAAAGTGAAATTGAGCTTTCAGAAAGAGCACAGAACAGAGTACTGAGCCACATTATTCACAACAAACTGAAAATGCTGCTCACTGACATTATAAAAGCCATTACTTTTTAAAAACTCACAGTATCTGGTTTGTCTACTACACTATATAGAATATAGTGATAAAAATATGACTTGTGATTCTGGCAATTAAAATGATCTCTTTTGTAATGCTCATGTGGCTCCTATCATTTTCGTTCATTATCTCACCTAGCAAACTGAACTTCATACTTCTACCCTAGCAATCAAATGCTGCCATGTAATTAGCAATGACTTAATACCTATGAATACCTGATCAGTAGAACTAATTATTCCAATTAGTGAGCTAGGCTGTGTTTTTTGAGATGGCTAGTGGATGAGAGAAGACGTGGGAAACGTGAATGACAAGTACATGTATGATCTGCAACAAGCTCACATGGGGGCAGGGGGAGGAGCACACCACAGTGCCAACTTTAAAACATACAATACACATCTGAAGTCTTAAATTCTTCCTTAAAATGTATTAAACATGAATGGAACCATTATGTACTGCAAACGTACTAATAAAAAATAAAATAAAATAAATGACAAGAAGAAAAAAAAACCACACAGAGGTAGCATGAAACTGGACTGAAGGTGGGCCAAAGCCAGACTTTCTGAGAATGGTTAGTGCTTAGCTGAGAAGATGCCCATGAATAATAGAATTTTTCTTACAACACAGTGATGTCAACCAAAATTTTAAATGCACCCAACTTTTTACACAACTATTCCCCTGCCAGGATTTTATGTTTCAGGCATACTAGATACTTGTAAACAATGAAACTTCAAAACTAAAGATATCTAGGTGTTCAGATCTCATTGCTGAGATAAAACACTCAACATTCAAAGTTTAAGGAGGAATGGTTTATTTCCGCTCACAATGTAGAGGTGTAAAACCATAGTTGCCATAGGGAAGCAAGGCACAAGGGCATCACAGAGGAAAAACAGTACAAGGTGTGGTGGGCAAAATACAGGGAAGGCATGTTCACCTTTCCCTTTTATCCCTTCCAGGGTACAAATCTGGGTGGTGCCACCCACACCCAGGGTAGGGCTTGTGTTTAGTAAATCCACTCAGCCACACCCAGGACTATGTTAATTCCCATCAGGGGACTAATTTGGTATCACACACCCTTAATCCATAATCACACATTGAAGATTCAGGGACCTCCAAAAGCAAGAGGCTTTGGGGAGACAGGTGTACATATATATATATAAGCCATTACACTAGATAAGATTCTAAAAGCGTCCAGAGATTAAGAAATAGTAAAATTGAAACAGTCATCAGGCTGAGGATTTAGCTGAGCAGCACAGTGCCTGCCTGGCAAGGGCAAAGTCCTGAGTTGGATCTCTGGTACTAGGAAAAAAGAAAATGTCATATATTCCTTAAAAAGGAACCAGAATGGCACAGGATTTCTCAAAGGTAATAAAGGTTGCTACAAAAGAGTGGGGTGAGGGCCAGGGATTTGGCTCCATGGTACCCGCGCAAGGGCACAAGTTTGATCCCCATACCAAAAACAAAACAAACAAAATAGTGTGGTGAGGCCTTAAAATAATGGAAAATATTTTGTACTACCAATTTTATACCCAGTCATCTTCTGTAGGGCAAGTTAAAAGGTTAAAATCATTAAGAAAGCTTATCTTTTTTTTTTTTCAGCTTTAATTGAGTTTATTGGTACATTCTAGGGATATAGTACAGTTACATTCATTATTGGGATCTTGTACCTACCTCTACATGACAAGTCTTGATTCTCATTTTTTTTTCCCTTACCCCTGCTTATCTTTAAAAGTAGAAGTACGGCGGTGCACAACTATCATCCCATCAAGGAGGCTGAGGCAGGAGGATTGCTGTGAGTTTGAGACCAGCCTGGGCTACATAGTGAATTCCAGGTCAGTCTCAACTACATAGTGAGACCCTATCTCAAAACAGCAAAAAAAAAAGTAGAAGTATTGAAGTTAATTCATAAGGTCTACAAAGGAAAAGAAATCAAGAAATGGGAATATAAACATAAGTGTTTGGAAATGCAGAGGTAAATGCTTGAAAATTGTAAAAAGATGTGTTCTGTCTAGACTAAGGGTGATGAATGAGGAAAACATGTTCACCATGGTCTCTGTCCTACTAAGTTCATCTATAATTTTAATTTTTAAAAATTGTTAAAAGGCACTTGACAAGAATATTCACTCCACCACTGCTTGTTACAGCAAGACAGAGGAAAAAATCCTAAATTTTTATAAGTAGGAAGAAAGATAAATAAGCCACGATAGATCTATTTGATTTACAGTACCCTCTTATCTGAGGATACAATACCTATATAAACACAGTCTCTTAAAGGGTACATGAGAAATTGATAATCTTAAATTACTAGGCTCCCATGAGACAATGCCTGCTATTTATCATCAGGCAAGACAACAACTCCAGTATTCTTACAATTTACAGAATCCTCAAAGCATTTTTAAGTTGTGGACCAATGTGTTTAACAAGAAAATATACAGGTTCTTCAAGTCAATTAAACAATTTCTGTTGTATTTATCTTTAGGTGAAAGATACGGTCATTAGTAAACAAAGTAAACAGATGAGGACATAGATGCATCTTGTTCTGAAGTTCTTCTGTAAGCCAAATTCAAGTAAATCACATGGGAAATTTTTTAAATTGTATTTAATAGCTCTGAATCAGTAAATGTTGAATAAATATCCCAACAGTAAAGTGGGCAGTAGAACTCTATTAATGACCACTTTAGTCCCTCCTACAGGAAAAACTACTAGATAAACCACAGAGACTGACTCAAACAGTGTTGGCCATTCTGTCTTCTATTCTTTTACCTCTAATATGAAACAGTATCTAAGGAACTGCTGATCTTCCCATCCTTCAAAGCTTCACCTCTTCTGTCTGACATTGAAATGTTCAATACCACTGTTCACATCTTGACATTCCATTCTTTCTGTTTCACCTCCAGAAACATGCCTTCAATTACCACGTGCACTCAGGTCACTCTCGAGTTCCCTCTGCCACCTTAAAATCTCTCCTCTGTAAGGCCATTTCCTAAATGGTGGTGGACAGCATAAAGGATGCTCCAAGCAAACATGGTGGCTCCCATAATCCCAGCATTTGGGAGGCTGAGGCAGGAGGATTACTTGAGTCCATGAGCTTAAGATCAGTCTGGGAAACATGGCAAGACCTTGTCTCAAAATAATAAATTAGTTAGCTGGTTTAAATAAATAAAGTAAATATATGTTACATGTGTCTGGCAAGTTTCTTTGCAGCAGTCACCGCCTTGTATAACACCTATGTAACCAGCCTATACTACAACCCCACAAGGGGACTATGTGTATGGTGGTTTTACTCTAAATCCTAGAAGACCTATATTTACACCTGCCCTGAGATCTTAGTTACTGTTCAGTACAGGTTATTAACCCCAGGATTCCTAGCAATTCTTGTGAACTGACTGGCTCATTTTGGTATCACCACTTGTGAATGTGACCGAACATATCCTGAATTTTTTCATACATTAATTTAACAATCCCTAACCAAGTGTCCATAAAAATGTGAACCTGTACAACTGTAGTATAATTGAAATACACATCACTCAAAATGCTATAAAAAACAAATCCCAAAAATAAGTAAATTTGGAGGATGTGAGGTAGGCTGAACATCATTTTCCATATGTATGATAAACTGTTGACAAAAAGTTTTACATCCAGTGAACACTACTAATATGAAATCTACACACTGGAAGCAGCTTTAAAAGCTAACTAATCCCTTCTCCTTTACAGATATGAACACAGAACCCAAGAAAGCTACATTAATTGCTTTAGTTAGGAGGTTAACTATGTGAGCCATCTGAACATTTTATTTTTAGGCTACTAATCAATAAGCAACCTGACCCACTCCTTGCTTATCCTGCAATTTTATTGAAGTACATTAAAGTACCGCCATTTTCAATAATCCCTCCACACTACTTAGCAATGGCTCCATTTATAAAATCTATCTGTACTTTAAAGCCCAATTCAAAATCCCATAAAGTTTTCCCTCACTGTACCCATCCAAGTATTCCTCTCCATACCCGCCCTGGTTTTCACTGCAACTCACCCTGAACTGATACACAAATTCTGCCCATTAAGCACACACTCTTGAAGGGTAAAAAGTATATCACATCACCAACAATACACAGCCTCAGCAGTTTCTTGTTCTAATGAATAACCAGTGCCATCGCAAACCAAAGTGAGCGATCACACCACATGAGGACCACTGGCCTATAACAATGCCTTCGACACTGAGAGC